TTCTATTTTTATTCTATAAAAGTTGTATATATAGGTTCATGATATTTAATAAAATACACATTCAACCATTCTTAACACGACATTAGAGCCCTCTAGTCCCTCGAATATTCAAATGCATCATCTTTATTCATATTGATTCCTATCAGAAAAGAAAACTCGATCCTAAAGTTTTAAAATGTGTGCTTGAGGGGTATTTCTCTTTTCGAAGGGGGAAGAAATGCTACAATCCACCCACATAAAAGTTCTATATATATGCGGATGTCACCTTTATGGAGACAAACTCTATGGAGCCTATATTGGAAAATAAATCTTGATTGACCTTAACTTTCCATCTTTATTACATACCCAAACACCATCGACGCCTACAAGAAAACCTTCATAATCCACCAAAAAGCCAACCCAGTCAGGAAACCATACAAGACCCTAAATTGACTCGTGTATACAAAAAGAAAGAATCTGAATTCTGAGCAAAACAAAGGCATTACCCCACTTTCGCACCTGTAGAGCGTCTTCCACTAGGATTTACCAAAGAGATTGGAACCAATGAAGTATATAAACTGGAGAAGGCACTCTACGGACTTAAACAATCAAATAAAGTGGGGTTTGGCAGATTTCCAAACGTAATGTTAGGTTTGGAATATTTCTTTTTATCTCAAAAAAAAATGTTAGGTATGGGATATAAGTAGACCCAGGGACATTTTTGTCAAGCATTTAGATTCATAGGGAGTTACAGCTCTTACCGTATGTTGTTGACATCATTGTGAAGAAGACAATGAAAGAGAAAAACTTATGCTCACGCAATGCTCGCAAAAAAAAATTGAGGTTACGAACTTAAGGAAGCTGGAGTATTTCCCAGGAATTGAAGTCGCCCGCTTAAAATAAGGACTCTTCATTTCACAACAAAAATGCATCCATAATTTGTTAAAGGGTAACTACCATGTAAACCAACTAGTACTCCAATTGATCCCAATCATAAATTGGGATAAGCAGAAGAAGATACAAAAATAGATAAGGAGTTGTATCAGAGACTGGTTAGAAGGATAATATACCTATCATATACAAGACTAAATATTGTCTATACAATGAGTGTAATAAATCTATTCATGTGCAGGCCCGAAAAAGCCACATACAAGCAGCCTACAGAGTGCTATATTACATTAAGTGAACACCTGGAAAATGTATCATATTCATGATTCTTAAAAGTTTATATTGATGCATATTATGTAGTATCAATGGTTGATAGAAGATTACTGCAAGTTACTGTATCTTCTTTTGAAAAACTTTAATCATCTGGAGAAATAAAAAATAGAGAATAGTTGTAAGATTGAATACAAAATTAGAATTTTGAACAATAGCTCAATGGGTATGTGAGCTATTGTGGCTGAAGAGAATTCTAGAAAATCTAAAAATCACGTGGGATGACCTCACGCACCTATACTTATTGGAGATCTCATATCTCAATAATCAAATCAAGGCTCAATGTTTGTATGATAATCATATCAATATTCTATCAAATAACTAAGTGATGTGCTTTATTCATAGATACTAGAGCACAACTAAAATTGGATT